GGTATAAGACTTTGAAGCCGCCTTTTTTTAAAAGATTGAATGGTACACTAATGAGAATTTGAAATTAGATGTAACTTATGTTTTATATACAGATTTCAAGACATTTGCTAATTTTGTAGTTTCATATGATTACTTTCCAAAGGTTATAGATAATTTTTTAAAAATCAGAAATGGTACCTTTCTAAGAATTACATACTTTTTAGACACAACTATTAGCACATTAAGAGGGAAGCAAAAAGTAATTATCTGTTTAAACTGCAAGTAATTACTCTCTAACTTAACTCCCTTATTAACCTAAACTTTCTGGCTCCCAGGAACAGCCTTATAGAGAGGGAATATTTTATTGGGAGGAAAATGTTACTGGAATATTGACTGAAAATAAATTAATAAAATTAAAATACTGCTTTTTTTCTAATGGGCTTTTTTTTTTGTTTCAAGTCATATACTAGATATCACACTGCTGTCAATGGATACAGAAGCTTAGCTCTTTAAAAATTTCTTTTAATTTTATGTAAACCGTTGAGTATTCAATATAGCCCACTTCACCTTAATGGGGCTTGCCTGCCTTTGTTAGTCTTCAAAGAAACAACATTTGCTACCAAAGGAAATTAGTATTTTGAATGTGCTTCTCTTGGTTTTTGTTACTTGCTTAGCTTCTGTACGCATTCCCACCAGATATGAGGCGTCATAAGCAGTTCTTTCTTTTAAAATACAAACCACCACCAAAAATTTTAAATGTACAGAATACTTAAATATTTGGCTGTTATTTTTTAAAAAGTAACAAATAGCATAAAAGCAACGTTGTATGAAGATTGAAAATGAGAAAGATGCACTTTCTGTAACTTTGTCAAAACACTTAAGTTAATGTGAAATCCAATTTGATTTGTACTTACTACAGGAATTCTTATTTAATACAATACAATGGTTTGTGTTAAGTGTGTACATATTAACCAATGGCCTATCAAAAGCACATTTTAGATATTGAAAAAAAGCAAAGAAAATGCATCTTTAAACAGTTTATGGAATCTTTGACCACATATATTTGGTAGAGCTATGTGTTGTAGGGTTTGTTTGTTGGGTTTTTTTGCATTTTTGTATTGTATATGAATTATTTTTTAATGTGATGATTAAACACATCATTAAAGGCATAATCATAGGTAAAAGAAAAATGCAGTATAATGATTTTCTTGAAAATTTCTACAATGTTAAATTTGCAGGCAGCTTCAGACTGTCTTAGTGGTGGTAACTACTCACTCAGCCCTTTTAAAAGGTAGTAACTCCAGAGAAGCAACCTGTGTATATTCCTAACACTTTGTTCACTTTCATTCATTAGAGTAAGCCCCAAATAAAACAATGGGAATGTATATAGAACTATTCTTAATTACTTGATTTAATGGTATCAAGATACATGAATTTAACGTGCTTTAATGTAGGCACACTTTTTATTTTTGTCTATTTCACTGTTTATGTTAAAATAGCATCCCTCTTTGCATATTTGTTTCATTACTCAAACGAAATATTAACCTATGGTCAAGATGGGAGAGAGAAATGACTGAGATGAGTGTCTTTACTACAATACCAATAAATCTGTCAAACTCAAAAAAAAACAAAACAGGAATTATCTTCTTTCTGCTGGGCAGGTCCCTTGTACTACAGGCTTCCCCCATTACATCAGTGTTCTAAAGAACCCATCTGTATCAGTGTACCAGATGGCGTTGTTGTGAGAGGCTGCTCAGCTTCAGTGAATTTTTTTTTGAAGACTAAGAGCATTTGCCCATTTCATGATGGGTAATTTACTACAGCACCTGCTGCTCACACCACACTGAGAGTTCAGCAGTTTTTCACGAAAAACAGCATGACCCCCCCATGCCCCACCCTCCCTATTTACCCAATCACACCCAAAAAGACTTTTTTATTGTTTCCCTGGATGAAAGGAGTCTTCAAAAATAATGTTTTGCCAATATGGAAGAGGTGAAACCAAGAACGTTAGAGGTACTAAAAGGCATCAAAACCAGTGAATTCAAAAACTGTTCTGAACAGTGGAAAAAAGTGTCAATAGGTGTATTGCATTACATGGAGAATACTTTGAAGGTGAGTGACGTTTAAACATGTAAGAATACACAATTTTTTATAAATAAATCTGGGGGGTTTTTTGGATCCCCCCTACACTGTATCCAAGAACACACCTTCACATACATGATCACCACAACAGTCCCAATGATCAAAGTATATTAAAAAGTGAACTTTACTAATCATTAGAAAAATGCAAATTAAAACTATGATGCTCCTTCTTTGACCACTTCCATTCAACACAGTACTAAAAGTTACAGCTAAAACAATTAGGCAAGAAAAAGAAATAAAATGCATTCAAATGGGGGGGGAGGAATAAAACTATCTCTATTCATGGATGACATGAACGCATGTGCAGAAAACTAAAGAATACATACATACACACCCCCCACCCCATCAGTAAATAAATACACCAAAGCTGCAGGATACAAAATCAGCATAGAAGAATCAGCTCTATTTTATATACTTAGCAATATACAATATAAAATAGCAATTCCCTTTTCAAAAAGAGAATTAAGAAAACCATTCAATTTACAATAGCACAAAAAGAAATAAAATACATGAAAATAAATTTTTCCATGGAGACAAGAGACTTTTAAATTAAAACTACACAGTATTACTGAAAGAAATTAAAGACCTAAAAAAATGGAAAGATATCCCATATTCATGGATTGGAAAAATAATATTGTTATGGTAAGAATACTACCCAAAGTAATATACGGATTCAGTGTACTCCTTATCAAAATCCCAATGGTGCTTTTTGCACAAGTAGAAAAACTGATACCAAAATTCATATGGAATTTCAAGGGATCCCAGCTAACCAAACAATCTTGAAAAATCAGAAGAAAGTTGGCGACTCACATTTCTCAATTTCAAAACTTACTATAAAGCTACAGTAATCAAAACACTGTGTTACCAGCTTAAGAACAGACATACAGACCAAATGGAATAGAGAGTCCAGATAAAAACCATCAAATATATGGTTAACTGATTTTTGACAAGAGTGCCAAGACCATTTATTTAATAGAAAAAGGATAGTTTTTTTGGACAAATGATGCTGGGAAAACTTTATATACATATGCAAAAGAGTAAAACTGAAGCCTTACAACATACTTAATATATTCAAAATGGATCAAAGAAGTACATTTCAAGGCTAATACAGAACTCTAGTAGATAATACAGGGAAAGCTTTATAATCTTGGATTTGGTAATGGTTCCTTAAAGGAAGACACCAAAAGCACAAGCAACAGAAGAAAACGTTTTAAGTTATATTTCATCAAAATTAAAAACTTGTTTTTGTTCAATAAAGGACACTATCATCACAGTCAACTCAAAAGAATGGAAGAAAATACTTTCAAATCATTTTTTAATAATGAATATCCAGAACATATGAAGAACTCTCATAACTCAGGAAAGAAAAGTTTTAATGTGCGAAGGATGTGAGTAGTCATTTTTCCAAAGAAAATATACAAATGACCAATAAATGCATAAAACGATGTGCAACACCACAAATCACTAAGAAACTACAAATCAAAACCACACTGATAACCACTTCATACACATTAGATGGCTTTATTCATACCTGCCAAAACCTAGAAGCAAGTAAGATATCCTTCAGTAGGTGAACAGATAAACCAGCTGGTACATCAAACAATGGAATATTATTAGCACTAAAAAGAAATGTGCTATCAAGCCATGAAAAGAGATGACAAAACCTTAAATATATATTACTAAATGAATGAAGCCAATGTAAAAAGCCTACATACTGTATGACTCCAAGTGTATGACATTTTGGACAAGGCAAAGCAATGGAGACAATAAAAAGATCAACGGTTGCCAAGGTTGGCCGGGGGAGTGGGGGGCGCGGTGCAGGATGGCAGAAAGGAGAATTAACAGGTGGAGAACAGAGGACTTTTAGGGCAATGCAAAATATCTGCATGGTGTGTTATGTATGTATGGCGGATACATATCATTATACATTTGTCCAAACCCACAGAATGTACGATACAAAGATTAAAACCTAATGTAATCTATGGACTTTGGGTGATTATAATGTGTAAATGGAGGTTCATCAATTGTAACAAATGTACCACTCTGATGAGGAATCCTGATAATGGAAGAACCTTATGCATGAGTTGGGGAAGAAGGTCCCAGGGGTGTCCAACCTACAGCCTGCAGACCAAATGCAGCCCAAGAATGGTTGTGAATGTGGCCCAACACAAAATTGTAAATTTACTTAAAACATTATGAGATTACTTTGTGATTACATGTTGCAATGTATTTAATGTGTGGCCCAAGACAACTCTTTTTCTCAGTGTGGCTCAAAGATGCCAAAAGGTTGGATACTCTATACCTTCCTCTCAATTTTGCAAATTTAGTTGTGAACATAAAACTTCTCCAAAAAAACAGTCCTTGATTTTTTAAATAATGTAATTTCAAATAAAGACAACAGTATGTTATCAGCTTGCTTTTTAGTCACACAATTTATGGATTAGGATGCCTATAAGGCAGTAAATTCTTAAGTATTCGATATAAATAAATTTACTTTGAATCCCTTCTGTGCCTTGTCTGGGTAAGTCTTGTGTCATTTATAACATTTCTTGGGGGTCATTTATTTTTGCCTTCTTCAATTAATAGAGTTGTCTACATATAACCAAGAACAGTCCTATTCATGATTAACAAAATTCTAAAACCTAAATTAATGAAAGATCCCCATTGGGATAAATCATCCAATTTGCCTACAATGCTGAATCCTGAACCCAGCTGATACTCCTTATAGACAAATGAACTGTCACTTCACAGAAAGTAAAAGCAGGTGTGGTGGTATTTTTTGTTAGTTTACATTTATCAATGTCTAAAATCAACAGTCCACACAACCAATATATTAAATCTAAAATCTTTTCTCTAAAAACAGAAAAATTGTTACCTACCTTTCAGAAACCTCTTGCTTAAACTGAGTAACTTCACCAAGTGATGAATCAATATCCATAAAACCAAGAAAATCTCGATTTATATTAAGGAAAGGTTTCTCCAAACCCTTGCTTGATGTTTCATGACCCCTCGATAAAGGATCTGAATCAGTCAGCTGTACCTCTGACCCTTCACTTTCTGTGAGACGGGTCCGTTGACCAGGAGAACTGGGAACACTATTCCCTTCTTGGTCAGAGCTGTTCTTTTGCTTTCCATCTCTCTGGGGCTTACTGTTCAACCCATCATCCCGGAAGCCTTTAGCAAATGGATTGTAATCTATTTTCAGCTGGGTAATCTGTATGTTCTGATAAGCTGTTACTGCAAAGAATTCAGTCTGTGGGAAGGTAAACGTGTGGACACCAGGGCCATTTAGTTGTATCACTTCAGTAGCCTTTTCTGCAGGTACCAAATGAAGCCTTGGCAGGTACCGATGCATAGAGTGCAAAATAATATGCCCTTCTTGGTCCAATGTATTGTTGGTAAGTTTGAGTTTATAGAAAGATACTGGTTGATGCATCCAATAATGACCTGTGGAAGGAGATTCTGGATGAATAAAAACTCTTCCCAAAACATGGGGCTCTGCTTTCCCACTGGGTTCCCACCAGCGACCATTCCATTTGTAACGATGGTTATCCACAGGAGAAATATCCATGACAAGGATGTACTTCATATTTGAATCTAAACCTGTTATCCAGTAACGACAGTAAGGAAACATGCGTCTTCCTTGCTTGGTCAGAATCATCTCTGTGCTTCGATGATAGAATTCATTCCACATACTATTGTTATCCAAGGTGACAGTGATTCCTCCCACAGTACAATCAGCTGGAAGGCAAATTTTCCCTTTAGATTTTCCTGGTGATGACACACTGGTAGCCAAAGCACAGGCATCCCGGTTAGTAACCAGAATTCCTTGATCTGTTTTGCCATTTCCTGCCTGTTTCAGGATGACAAAGAAGGTAGGTGCTGATCCTGCCACTGTCCCACCATCTTGATTAGCCAATATAATCTGCTGTTTCTCCTCCATGATTCCAGTGGGATACTCAGTAGTAAGATAACTGTAGTCACCACATAGTCACACTGGCTTTCCCAGCCTAAAGAATAAAAAGAAAAAAAAAAAACCTTTAATTAAGTATTTATGTTGTCAACAGCACAAGAATGATTATGTTACCCCCAAAATATATTCCAAAATTCTTCTAAGATGTTGCTTCTACTGTTCTCTCAATCATTGTAAGGATATTATTCATTCTGGAATATTCAATCAGCCTTTTTAAAGTTCTTTTTACATTAAATTATTATATCCTGGCCCTCCATTGACTCAGTAGATACTATAATCTCACATAAAAATAAATAAAAGTATTTATTTCATTTTATAAAAACTATATTAAAAGTAGGCCTGGCTGGTGTGTGGCTCAGTGGATTGAGTGCAAGCCTGCAAACCAGAAGGTCACTGGTTCAATTTCAGGTCAGGGCATGTGCCTGGCTTGTCGGTTCCTGGTTGGGAGCGTGCAAGAATCAAGTGACTGATGATTCTTCGCACATCAATGTTTCTCTCCCCCTTTCTCCCTTCCTTCCCCTCCCTCTAAAAATAAGTAAAACCTTTTTTTAAAAAACTATATAAAAATATACAAACTTCAGGAGACTAAACTGGAAGGTTGGTTTCATTTTTAAAGCATCGTAACACTTTTATGGATTAAACTGCCACTGGGTTCTGTTAACATTACAAGTTGTCCTGGGATGAGTAAAAATAAATTCCCATGTTACCATCATACAGAATTTACTCTTTATTACGGTACTGACATGGGTTCATAAAAAAGTAAAATGCTATCTTAACCTGATAGTGCACACATTTAAAGAAACCATGACAAATCACTGGAACTTACTAGGAAAGAAAGATTTACCTCCATACTTCAGACTTTATATTGAACAAAATTCCAGAAGGATCAAACATTAAAATTCCTCCCCCATTTCTAAGTGATTTTTTTTTTAATTCTTAAATCCTCAGGAAAGCTTTTTGATAATAAGGACACAAAACCTTTGACAAATTTCAACATCATGTAAATTTTTAAAATCTGGCAAACATCCAAGCAAAATCAAAAAACAAATAACTAGAAAAGGTATTTGCAGCTTATAAATAACTCATTTCCCTAATATAAAAAGGGTTCCTACAAGTCAATAAAACCAAAAATCTAATGGAAAAATGGGCAACAGATAGGAAAAGCAAATGGCTATAAAAATGTACATCGTCTCAACACAGGAGAAATGCTAATTGAAATCATCCTGAGATACGGTTTTTGACCTTAACAGATTGGCAAAAACCAAAAGTTTGGTAGAGGTACTGGAAAAGATGTTGTTAGAAAGGGCAACATAAAAGTATCTAAAGTACAAATGCATTATCTCCTATGGAACAGTTCTTTTAGGACTTTATCTTAAATACACACTCACATACGCATTTGCGATACACCTGTATAGAGATTATTTCCTGCAGTTCCATTTATAATAGCAAAAGACTGGAGAAAAAGTCCATCAATGGAGACTGGTTAAATAAATGGGGTATACCCATGGAGTGAAACATCATGCAGCTATAAAAGAAAATCTATAAGCTTCATGAACTCATACAAAATTACCTACAAGGTATATTAAGTTAGCCCTAACCAGTGTGGCTCAGAGTTGGTTAGTTGGACAATTTGATTCCCAGTCAGGGCACATGCCTGGGATGGAGGTTTGGTCCCCGGTCAGGGTACAAATGAGAGACAACCGATTTATGTTTCTTTCTCATATCCATGTTTCTCTCCCTCTCTTTCTCCCTCCCTTTCCCTCTCTCTAAAAATAAACAAATAATTTTTTAAAGATATATTAAGGACAAAATGTCAAAAGAATTGGTATTATGTTACTCTCCTTAATAAAATAAGGAAAAAAGGCCGAAGAAGAGAGTATGTATGTATTTGCTTGACATAGATTATAAAGATAGAAAGGAACTGGCAGTATTGGCTTTATCGAGGCAAAACTGGATGGCTGGGAGAATACATACACTTTCTAAATTGGCTATCTTTTGAAACTACAACCCATTTAAAAAAAAAGAATTAAAAAGTATGTTAGTAATTCTTAAAAGTCTTAACAAAAGACACAACATATATTGTATGATTCCATTTATACAAAATGTCCAGAATAAGCAAATCTATAGAGAGAGAAAGCACATTCGTGGTTGCCAGAAGACAGCAAGAGTGATAATTGGGACAATTGCTAATAGGTATGGGGTTTCTTTTGGTGGGGCCGGGGAGGTGGGGGGGGTGATGAAAATGTTCAGAAACTAAAAACCACTTAAGTGTTATCCATTAAAATAGCGAATGTTATGCTATGTGTATTATATCGTAATAAAAAGTTGTAAAGAAACCTCAGATTGTTAAATTCTACTGAACTAATGTGCCCAATTACCTAAATATTGTATGATATAAAACTATCACCTCCAATCAGCCTTTACACAAAAAAGGAAGATGCTACATCACTACACTTATATAAGTGGGTCAGTAATTTTGATTAACCAAATTCAGCCACTGTCAGTGCTCATTTTAATTAAAAAGTCTAACTTTCTCTTCTTAGAAGACTAGCCATCTAACTTTCTTTTTAGCCACATCACACCTCTCCCCAAGAAAAAGTATCTCCAAAACTTAAAATATTCCCTGGCCTGAGGATAACAGATACAGGTATTTCAAAAATCAAGACTTCAGAAAGGTTAGCTATTGTTTTCTAGCATGGCTAAATATAGAAGTATTGTAGAAACCTGCTTTCTAACACTAAAGCACTAAGACCAAAGAAAGGTGAAAAAAGAATCACTCCTCTGAGTTGAAGTTTATTTTTTTAAAGATTTTTATTTATTTATTTTTAGAGAGAGGGGAAAAAAGGGAGAAAGAGGGGGAGAGAAACATGATGTGAAAGAATCAGCACATCTCGCCGAGTTGCCTCTCTCATGCCCCCTCCTGGGGACCTGGCCCAAAACAGAGACATGTGCCCTGGCTGGGAATCGAATCAGCAACCTTTCGGTCTGCAGGTTCGCACTCAATCCACTGAGCCACACCAGCCAGGGCTGAAGTTTATTTTTAAGGGATAAAATTCAGGATGGTTCTTTTCAAAAGCTGCCTCGACCTTAAGACAATATAGATTCATTGGTTTACTAAAACTAACAAGTTTCAGCAACACCTATCAGATATTCATGAAACAAAATTTAAACACTTAGAAATCACAAATAAGGTGACTATGTAAAAAGAGTAAAGCTTAGTGAATTCACAAAAACTAATACCACTACAATGATATATAACTCAAACAATTCCGACTCCTAATGCTCTATTTAGTCCATATAGTTCAAAGTTGTTACAAATCACCAATTATTTTTGTGATAAATTATACAGAATATCCTTAAATGCACTTAAATACTTAAATATGCCTATTGACAAAGAACTGCATGAATAGCTAGACGTACACTAAAGGGTTCAAAACTTCCTAAAAATTATCTTTTATAATATAAAACCCTGGTTTTCAGACCATTACAGATAAAACTACGGCAAAGAAGTTTTAACCAATGCTTTAAAAATCACTATCTTTTTAAAAATTAATCTATGAATGTCAAAATTTCAACGAACAGAAGTCCAGTTTAGTGTTACAGACTGCACTTAAGTAAATTTTATGCTAACTTTACATTTACTCATTGCAAAAATTTCCTGTTGCACTATTTGAACTCTGCATACAAGAATCTAATTTTAAAATGTAAAAATAAAATAAAAAACAAAAATATAAAATGTAAAAAATGTATACAAAGACAGGAAAAAGAACTTTCAGACATACGATGTTATAGGTCTTTTTTTTTAAGAATCCTCCAAAAACGTTATTCCATGAATTCATCAAAATACATAAAACCAAAGACCTAACTTATGACCAAAACAATCTCTATCTTGAGTCATAACTCCCTACTAGTTAAGCAACAAGGAATCAAATTCTTATTCTACATCAATCTTTAAGCAAAGATTCCACTTCATTATACGAACATGGCTATGGTTTTGGGATACTACAGGGGATTTTCTAATCAAAGAATAATCAATTAAGCATATTCAGCCACTCTAAGGGCTAAGACAATTTTACCTAATTGCAAAAACCAATTGTTCTTTAAAAAGAGGTAGGCCACTCATCAAGAAATCTTCCAGCAAAATTCTAAAACTATTCTGTATATGGCTCTCTAAAAGCTCTAAGGAAGACCACAGTTCTGGTAGATGTTTATGACTTAACATTCAAAAAAAAAATTTCAGTTCAGCTTTTCAAGAACGAGCTTTTATCTAAAATAACTGTAATAATGAGCTGAGGAAATGTTTACCTGAAAATAAAAATTATAAAAGTAACACTCTGAAAATGTCACAAGAAAAACAGGTGATTTCACGAACAATGTTTTGAGGTAAGTAATGTGGCAAGTTTCATAAATAAATTGTTACAATTTCAGTGTCCCTATTCTCAATCTCTTTTCACCAATCACCTCTTTGGTTAAGTGTTTAGCTACTGAAGAGGTGACCCTGAAACAACTTACAAAGATATACTAGTTAGTTTCCTAAGTAGTTACCTAATTTAATTATTCAAGTATTGCACCAAAACAAAAAGCAAAATTCCAAACCAATATCATTATTTTAAAAACACAAAATATTCAAATACTGGTCAACCTGTTTTGAATATTTCCAAAGTTGCTAAAAATAACCATAACCTTACAAAACAAGTGCATTACTGTATTGTAGGCACCAAGATGTTGGTTTGTTCCTTAATATGATCATTCACCATAAGAATGTTTAAGTTAAATTACATTTCTAAAACTCAAATTTTAAAATAAGAGGTTCACTAGAACTTCAGTATTTACCAATATACAATAAGCCCTGAAATTTCAAAAATCTTACGAAAAATACATTTCAGGTAAAAATATGATCAAAAAATTCGACAGCAAGTGGTGGTAAAGACAGTAAATAGTCAACTACCAGTTAATTGTCATCGTGTTAATATTAATTAAATAAACGGTACTTGTCTGATAGCAAGCACTTACTTCGGACCAGACAATATCCTGGGC